TATGTTTCGGAGTATACGAATGTTCTATCGCAGACGACGTTTTATACGAATATAGCGGTTTTATGCGATCTTCAACCGATAGCCATGACGTGGCCACGTATTTGGTCTTCCACGGCTGTTATTTTTATTGTTCCCTTTGTCCCTTTGTTTCCTTTTTTTCCTCTATGTTAAATCATTTGTTATGTCGCCGGAACGTCCCAGGTCTTTAATACTAATATCTACCTCATCTTTATGTTGTGTGTTCTTTAAGAACCTTTGTTCATATTTTAACAGAACTTATGTCTTCGTTATTTATATGATATAAAAGCTTTTAGAAAAATTTACTTCGCAAATATCCGCGTTATAAAATAAAATGATGTGTATTACCTAGTATGAAGAGCACCTCCCGCCCTCCCTCCCTCAATTGCGTGCACTAGACTCTACGGTAGAGTCTATATCACCTGAGGATGCCTCGTGTAGAGGCGAAACACGTGTCGTATTATCGTCAGTGGTGTGTCTTGCCTAGTGTAGTGGTCTTGGGAGTAGCGGTGCTGGGATTATTGTTGTATATATAATTGAAATACCACGGGTCATATTTATACCTATATTTTTCTTTTGACCTGTTTTGTCCCTTTTCAAAACTTCTGAAGTCGCCAATTCAATGGCTAACCAATGGTTTATTTTTTTACCATTATTACAATAATTTCTGAAAATTAGCTCTTACTTTTCCAAATAACAAAAATATGATAAGTTAAGTTCGTTTTTTTATGAAGCTTTATGACGTGAATACCAGCTCCTACTTTTCAATTGTAATAGCACAAGTTGCACTGTGCATTGAAATCTAAAATTCTATTAAGATAAAAATTAAAGAGAGCACTTAGCAACCGGTACCGGCAAGTTGACGTGGCTCGAAGTTATTGGAAAATAGCCAAAGCCTTGTTTAGATCACTTGTAGCAACACAGTCTACAAAATGAGTGCTTCTTGACCCCTTCATCTAATTCCTCCTTGAGTTTTGATTTGTGTTTTTTCATTTTAACATTTATATAAGTACCTTCTATTCATTTAAGTTTAATAAAACGAATTCATTAAAAATAAGAAAACAGCAAAAGAATGTGTCCATTGCTCGAGAAAAAAAAATTTTTTTATACACAACGCGCTTATTTAAAATCAGCCAAACGGTACAACGGTAAGAAAAAATTAGAATCATTACTTCATTATAAATTTCCTTCGACAAGATTGTCTTTTAATTGTAATTATTTTAATTTCTAATTTAGAAATAAAATTATGGGAACAGCTTTATTAAAACCTTAATTAAATGTCGAACTATGATAGTCACTTTTGAAGGCTGCTTAGGAGAGGCTGCGAACATTGTTGTATAAAAGTAAGCACTATTTTTTGTAGAAAAGGGTGACAAATGAGCGCATATTTACCGGATGCTATGGCTCATAGACACCTACATCTATCGAATATAGAACGCGTTGAGTTATTATGTACTACGTACTAGAGGCGACACTGCATTTAGTTACGTTGTGCTATTCAATTGCGGTGATAGTGCCGCACTTTACTCAGTCGCTCGCTAGGCGCTAGTGAGTTGATACATGCTGTGTTGATTATATAAAAAAAAAATCTTTATAAAATATGCCATGGTGTGTTTTAGATATTGCATAAATAATTCAAGAAATGTTAGCAAACACCAAGGAATAACTTTTCATCGTTGAGTAAAATACTTAATAAAAAAGTATTATAGATTAATAATCAAACAAATTATTCATAAGACGCTATCTCGGGTCATGAAATATAGATTATGAAATTAATTTGTTCAGATGCGACGTTACTATAGGTACTTAAGTGTGAGAATAATTGGGGAAAAGTTCTGATATTTAAATTTGCTGATAATTTTTATGTTTCCACGTTCAAGCTGTTAAAACCATCCATTTTTTAAATCTCGCGTGCTCAGCGTTTATGAATGACTCTTAAAATCTAAATAAACATATTTGTAAATTATATTTTATATCAATAAGTTTTGTTACACATACATTTAGTATGTTTTTTTAATATTTTACATAGTTACCTTTTAAAATATTCAAATAAAATATCATTTAAATGTAATTCTGATATAATGTTATGTAATATTATATTAAATTAACACATACAATATGCAGAATAAATGACAAATTTTAAAAATTGTACTCGATATAATTTACATAATTAACAATACAATATACTTTTACATACTGATCATTTTGCCTACGCATAATCTATGATAAAAACCAACTGCGCATGCGCCACAAAACATGAGTAGCGCACATTTTTTGTTTGAAATAGCTGTTCTAGTACGTAAGTACATATTACTTCAATGATAGAACGAAAATATTATAGTCTATACTTACCATACGAAACATAGCAGCGTTAAGTTGCTATTTCACGCTGGTATACTGTGAGAACGTGGTTCTTCCCTGGTAGAGCCAACCCATTCGTGCTGCATTAATAATATAGCTGCAGCTTGGCTTCACTACGAATGAATTGAGTTAGAAGAAACATTATTGAAGTGAAAATTTTTTGAGCATCGTGTGATTTAAAATTGGATGAAACGAAAAAGCGACACCAAAAAGAGAGAAACGTATACATATACAAGATTTAGCTTGCGAGAGAATGAGATAGAATACAGTGTAGTAAATAACAGGATCCTAAGGGCAAGATGTGGACCGCAAACTCAAAAGGTTGTGGGTACGAATCCGCCTTTTTTAAATGTTACCAATAGTGATTAAGGTAATTTTTGTAATGTTAGTAGCATTGCTAGTATTTTGTTAAATATAGTTCTCTTCGTGCGTTGCTTTAAAGAATGTTAATATAAATTTTAAGTGTTAAAATAAACAGTTATGAAAAAAATTTAAATATATTAAAATTAAATTAACCATAATGAATAAAATTATCTTAATATACCAATCCACGATTTCATAAATTCATACCATCTAGCGTCTTTTATATTGTACGTACCAACTTCTCTCAGTCAATAAAATTTTGTTCAATAAAAATACTTTACCTATAGGATGAAGTAGATGGCGCTATTACAAAGCAATTTTATTGGAAAGGAAATATTCCTTTAATTTATTACACTAAAATTAAGTCTAAAATACGGACATTTACTTGCAATAAAATTAAACTTTTATCTTATATTTTATACCACATTTGTGGTTGACAATGATCATATTAAATAAATCATTTGCCGTGAAATATTTTTATTTTATATTTCATTTCATTTGAAGGTTTCATTCAACCGCGTGTGAAATGCACACATTTTTGTTTTATTTCTATTTGTTTTTTTTTTTTTTACGTGGTAGAGCTATGGCTGAAGTGAAATTATGGTTGTAGCACGAATGGGTCGGCTCGACCGGGGAAGGACATCATGCTCTCACAGAATACCAGAGTAAAATAGCAGCTCAATGCTGCTGTTTCGTATGGTGAGTGTAGAGAAATGGAGAGCCCTTTTACTAGATAGGTGGCATTCCGTCCTAATCCTCAGATGTGATAACGCGTCTGCATTTTGATTCCTATTCGATGATAAATAGATGTCCACGATTCCAAGCTCTCACAGAATACTAGCGTAAAATAGCTGTTCAATGCAGCTGTATTTCGTATGGTGAGTGTAGAGAATCGGAGACCCTTTTTACTGGAAACCAGCATTTTGAATCATAATTTAGGGTGAATTTAGATGTCTATGAGCCGCAGCATCTACTTAACATCAGGTGGACTGTGTGTTCGTTTGCTACCCTTATTCTAAAATAAAAAAAAAACATTAAATCAATTTAACGCGAAAATATTTCAATTACACTCCCGAATACAAGCTATCGCCTTTTAAGCTTTAAATGATTCATATAAATTAACATAATAATATGTTCTCCTACTCAGTTTAAAAACCAGAAAATGCTTGGATATTATACAATTAAAGTAACAATATTATAGGACTAAAGAGCAAGGTGTCTTTCTAAAAATATCAGAAGTAACTTCTATGCATTTTTATATTTTTATTTTTTTTTTTGTTTCAGAAATAAAAAATGTAAATAAATTGTGTTTATTGAAAACATTCTGTTGGCTCTGCCTAGAATTCGAAAACTTCAAACTTGTAATTTTAATCTAGTTCAAAGACTTTTCTGCTCATCGATCCGGAAACATAAAACGAGATAGAGCACGTTGAGTTAACCAACGTCATTAGCACTTGCACTCCAGCATCAAGTCTTTGTGGATAGTCGTAGATTTTAATTTATATCCGATGTTTTCACTTCTAAAGGAATTAAATTTACAAATAGATAACTGACTAGTGCCAAATTGCTTTGATTTTAAAAGTAATGAACAGAAACCTGTATACAATTTATGTGTTTTTGTAAATACTATACATATTACGTGTTACATCGTTATAAAATAAGATTAAACAAATGAAGAATAATGAATTACAGTAATAAGTTTTTTTATTTCTTAATCTTAATAATAAGTACATGAAAAATAATGTCTATATCATTAATGTTTTAAATTGTGATTCTTTTTATGTTTTTAATTCGTCCTATTCTTGTAAAAGCGTTTCTTGATCCAAAATGTAATAGAGAAATAATAAATTATTTTTTACGCACAAGAAGCTGTTGTTAATCGGCTGCATCTATAATCTGTTAAAACAGCTCCACTACAAGCAGTTTTGGTTAGATATAAAACAATTCTAAAACAGAAGAACACAAAAAGCAACAACGTTAAACACTTTTTTAATTTAATTTTTGATTATTTTTCAAACCGTAGCCGATTTTTAATGAAAATATTAATAATTATAATAGATTTATTTCTTCAAACTGCGAAAATTAATTTAGCTGATTCATACATACGCCAATACTTGATCCTAATGTTTTTCTTATTGAAATTCAAACAGGTCTACAAAGGCAGCAAATGGAAGCATTAGTTCTAAACTAGCGTTCATAATAAAGCGCTTTTCGTCCCTCTAAACACAAATAAATTCGGCACAAACCCGGTAACTTACTCTCTGGTCTAAACGTCACCCGGTCTGAAATAATAAAATAAAATATTAGTTGATAAACATCACTTAGGCTTTGCCGTATTTCGATGTAACATTTTCACCCTGATTCTATAAATAAATCATTTATTAAATTGAAGTGTTTATGAATTTAATAATAATTAAAAATTAATTATTCCGTAACGTGTATAAATGATTATTGCATTCAAGAGTTGATCATCATTCTCCGTTAAAGTATAAACTAATAAAAGTTTTTAATTATACACCAAATCAAACTTTTTTAATACACTGGTGATAATACTAATATGAAAAACTCATCAAATGGATTTTGTTAAAGGAATAATTTTGATTTTGTATCTTATTTTCCGTGTTTCTATTTATATGTGTTTCCGGATGTGATTAAATTTAAGATTAAAAATGCCTTACCTTTATTGTTGAAGATGTCAGGTACATGAAACAAAAGAAAATAATTAAATATTTATTCATATTATTAAAAGATTGACCGTTACTCTTAGACCCTATTAAAAGTCCACGTCTGAACATACGAGTCTGTAGGTCTCCTCATTAAATTTCCTTATAGGAAGGATATTTGCCACAGTTGCCACGCTTGGCAGGCGGGATGGAAAGTGTAGTTTTTTTAGTTGTTATTTGAAAGACATTGCTAGCCATCTCTTGTTTTGTTTCTCTCTGTCATCTCTTACGACACGGACGATGTGGGCTAGTGGTTATTTTTTTTACCGCCACTACATGGGTAATATATTTAAATATTGTAGTTAATTTATGTTTCAATATATTTAGTAATATTATTGACTACTTGAATAAACGAGCATGAGCTGTGGTAGCTGAGGGGCTAAGCGCTCGCTGTAAATTTTAAGTAAGCGAGTAACCCGGGTTCGATCCCCGCCGGCACCAAAGAAATTGTTAATTGCAATTTTAAGTCCTGATTTACCAAGTGTTCGACGGTGAAGGAAAACATCGTGGGGAAACCGGCAGGATTGAGAAATCAAAAAAAAATATTTCGAAGACGTGAAGTTCACCAGCGCGCATTGGGCTAGCGCGGCTAACATTTCCTTGCCCTAACACCCTCTCAGAATTGAGGGGAGGCCTGTGTCCAGCAGTGGGTATAGGTATATATGCTGTAACTTTACGTCACTTTACTTACACTGTAATAAATTTCCTCTTATTTATTGATGAATCCTGAGTTTGAATCCTATTTCGGTTTTAAGTAATCTTATTTCTATTTTAAACACTGAAAGTGGTGAAAATGCAGCACAAACTTTTTGGCATTATTAATACATAATAAAGTCTGCAAGTTTTTGGAGTTGAAGACGGATTAAAGCCGTCTAGGCTACAAAAAGTCATAAAGGAACAAAAAGGCATATAAAAAGTTTTATCTGGGCTAAGTTCCATCTGGGCTAAGTTAGGTTACAATTATATATCTATTAACGCAAAGCATAGGCTTCTTTAATAAATCAATGTATTACACATACATTATAACTTTATTTCAGAATAATCCAGAAAATATTACAAGGGGATAATATCATCAACTAGTACCCTACATGATTTAATCTAGAAATATTTTTTAATTTCCACAATGTAGGTTATTTTTATGTTTAAGGTCAGAGCCCTACTTTTTAACTCCCAACTAAGTGGCGATGAATGCGTGGACTCTTGGCGATACCAGGTTTACTTGGTTAAGCGAACACAGGTCCTGGTCTAGTTTCTGTGATGTTGTTAGCCTATGCGGCTTCATCAGACTCAGGGCTCGCGGCCTGGCAGTTCCTGGGTTAGAATCATTGATGGTGCTAAAATTTGTACAAACATACGTCATTTTTACGTTCCTGTCAAATTGTATTTTGTGCCTTGTGTGTGGACACACAAACGTCGTCGACATCGAAGTCTAGTACGAATAAGGCTATGACGAGTAAATCTCGAATATTATTATATTTTTTTAAAGAATCGCGTTTGTATGTACACGTACCTAGACGATAGGGCCTAGATTTTAAATGTTAAAGCTAAGGAAAAATATCGATAGTATTCTTACACCTCACATAAGACAAATATACGCTATTATGTTAACTAAAACTTAACCTATTAAATTTGTCTAACGTTTAAATAGTTTTTTTTTCAGAGTAAGAAGAATCTGAATTAATATCGAATATAAAAGTAAAACTACTTGTCATATCACCAAGTTATATGAAATTGCCGTAGTGACGTTTCAAGGGAACACACTACCCCATATTATCCCGTGGATGTTGTAAGAGGCAGCAGAAGAAAAAAGCAGGAGATGGGTTGCAGCACACAGGAAACGAGTACACGATGAAACGAGGCATTCCATCCCAACAGATAGGTCTTAAGATGAACATGGACAAAACAAAGATAATGTATAACGTCCATGTCACACCTATGCTGGTGATTGTTGGGAGCACTAAGCTCGAAGTTGTTGACGAGTATGTTTACCTGGGACAAATAGTCCACCTAGGTAAGAACAATAAAATATAAATAACTGTTATGAGACTGATATAGAGCGTCTAAATTCAACAATTTTATCATTTAAAAGCTCCCTACAAAATATATCAAATAAATATGCATCGGCTCAGAATGAGATAAAATAAACACATATTGGCCATGAATGATCTGGTAAATTCATGTAAGTATAATGAGGAGTGCTTTGACTCCTTAATAAAACATCAGAGTGAGTATCAGCGCTCCATACCAGGTTCATCGGGGACAATATGTGTAAATAATAATGATAACAGTAAGTACTCATTATTTTCACCTACACTCTATGACAGTGCCATAACAAAGTATATTAACTTAAAAAGTAATTTAAATATCTACTATTTAAATATTAAAAAATTAAGTTATTAAGTATTGTGATGACATGGGCAAATTGATTTTTTTGGGCATGATGTTAAATTACTGTTTAAAAGGACATCTGGTTAGTAGTAATTGTATGCCCGGAGCATCCTTTAGTCTTATAATAAATAAAGTTTTAAACTCCATCAATTCCGGAGGTAAGATCTCATCATAACTAACAAAACGAGCCCAAACTAGGTACACCTAGTACTACTCGTCGAGGAGTTCCAGTAGCAGTCACCGAAGTACACCTTCAGATCTCTCCATCAAGTCCAGAGATAAGGTCTCTTTATAACTAACATAACAAGCCCAGGCTTGGCACACCTAGTTCTACTCACCGAGGAGTTCCAGCAGCAGTCACCGAAGTACACAGATCACTCCATAAAGTCCAAGACGAATAGGCATTTATATATATATATATATAAAGCCTACTTACTTTTAGCGAATAAAAACGTGTGATCATGAGAATGATAATATTAATTTTCCTTTTTTACTGGAAAAGAGGGATTCCATCTTAGTCCTCACGGCTGATTTTGATTCGCAAACGAGGATAGATGTAGATGTCTATGGGCAACAGCAACCACTTACCATCAGTTGGACTGTGTGCTCGTTTGTCACACATCTTATAAAAAAACCTTGTCAAGTACGAGTACCTAAGTATCATATCCGAATATTTTGTGTTTGTACAGCGATATTTTTCAACATGAGCCGCTGCAATCAGGCGATACAGTATCCATTTATGACGGTGGCCGAGCGCGGACTGTGGTTTCTGGTTTAATCGAAATGTTTGTACAATAAGTCAATACAGGCACCAAAAATAAAATAACCCTTATTGCAATCAATTATGACTCATTAATATTAGCAAAATATGTGAAAATATAGAATTAGTTTTTATTTTTTAGGACTATTTGTGATATTTTAATAAAAAGTAAATACTGTTATTTTTTATTGAATATGTCTGCCTACTTATAGTATTTTTAGAAATCTTAATATATACTCGTATTGTATCGTTAATTTTGTAGAAAATGGTTAGAGAAGATCGTTTTTACAATATAAAAAAAATATTATTTGCAACAAAAAGTTACTACCATTTGAAGATGAAGGACCAGTCTATACATGGTAGTTATTAGCTATATTTGTTTTGGTTTAGTTTTGTCACAAAATGTACCGAAAAACAGCATAAGTTTGCCCGATTTGCAAACGCGCCCTTAAGTCCTCGAGCACATTTATGACTTGTAATATAATTAATAATACCAATTATGTGTACGGCCATAGTAAAATGACACAACTAGAAAACCTAACAGCGAACAATTCCCGGCGCTGGACTGACAAGCTGAGTGAATTATGAGTAATAGAATAAACTCAAACAAATATCGGTTCACATCAAAACAGAAATACACAACGTATGGCACACTACGTATTCTATGGCATCCACTGCTTCACACATTTGTGTACAAATATTTTTGACACGTACGGGTGCCATTGGCAGCTTCTAGTTTATTCTGTTTCTATAAAAGTTTAATGCTTTATTTACGTGACCTAGCATATTTATTCAGAATACAGAGTTCAAACGGTATTTGGAAAAACAGATTCGGTATGGGAACATGAACTGAAATTACTTGATAAAAGTTTTGTGCTTTACTTATAAAACTAGTGATCAGCCCCGGCTTTGCCTGGATATGGCGTTATATAGATTTAAGATAATTAAATAACACTTACTCCCAAAAATTCCCAAAAAAAAAATCTTCAAAATTTTCGAATAAAATATAACCAAGATCTCTCATGGAATTGTTCTCCATTTGTTCGTAAAGTTTCATTAAAATTAGTACAGCCGTTCCGAAGATTAGCCCGAACATACAGATAGACAGACTTTAAAATGGTTATTTATGTCTTAATAGCATGCAATTAACTCCCCGGAGCTTTATTAAAGTCATTTTCTTCAATATTACAGACAGACACTTCAATTTTGTTTATATGTTTTATAGATAAACTACGTGTAAACTTTTAATTTCTTATTCATATCTCACCAGTGACTTGATTTTTTATTAATATCTCTCGAGACGGCAAGATCGGTTTAATTATTTCCATACGATAATGTCTTTTATACGTGGTAGAGCCATGCTGCAGCTATATTATGGTTGTAGCACGAATGGGTCGGCTCGACCGGGGAA